CTGTCCCATTCCCAACCAACTGACCGTTGCAAGGATTCTACTGCAACACTGGATCTCAAGACAGGGAGTTCCTCTACAATTGCACTCCAATCAAGGGGAAAACTTTGATTCTGCAGTTTGCAAGAGACTGTGCGAAGTAGCCGGCATCACCAAAACCCGGACAACAGCTTTACATTGTCAGTCTAGTGGCATGGTGGATGGTTCAATCGGACCATCCTGAACAGTCTCTCTCCTGGTATCCAGTAATCAATAGGACAGGGATAAGGAGCTGCCTGTTTTATTTTCTTGCATACAGTAGTGCCGTTCACGAGACCATCGGCTATTCCCCATTCCAGATGCTCTTCGTCTGCCTGCAGTTCTCCTGTTCAGCCGGTCACTCTATAGATGCTCCCTTGATGCCTGAGGAGTATGTCGAGCACGGATGACGGAGATGCATCATCTGGTCAGGAATGGAATCAGCATGGCTTCAGAGAAGATGTAAAGCTGATACGACGCATGAGCAACGGGACACGACTTTCACGAAGGTGACACAGTGATTGTGGAATCCAAAACTTTGCAAAGGACTCTCTCAGAAGTTGCAGACCAACTGGGAAGGTCCTTATACAGTTGTAAAAAAGACTGAATGACATCATGAGATGGATACAGAAATCACCACATTCAAAACCGAAAGCAATACATTACAGTAGTCTAGTCTTGTTTTGGACAAGGTGAATAAGATCCTTGAGCTCAGACCATGATCACAATTTATTTCCTAACTATAATTTAAATTATTTCTCTTTTCTAACTCCTTAGTTTTGTAATTTATATTAGTATTTGATCAGATATTTTGAATTTATGAGCTGTTGAGTATTTGTTACTTTATATTTGATTATTGTGGGGGAATATTTTATTCCTGTAAATAGATGCCTTTTAGTGAGGGATTGTACTGCCCGGGACGTGCAGTCTTTGAGGAGAGGGAAGTGTTACGAATTTTATATATTTTAATGCTAAAAATAGTGTAAAAAATTTATATCTGGATATGTAATATGTTAATATTATTCTCTGTAGTAATTATTTTATGCTAAATTGTAATATTCGCAAGCAACGCCGTTCCTTGCCTTATAATGGCGATTCAATGGAAACTTGCCAAAATGTTGGCGATCGAGCCAAGTTGGTATCACTTTTGGTAACCATGTGGATTTTTCTGGAAATTATGGAAGAAATCTACTAATATTACGATCTATGACGCAAACAGATTTTTCGAGAAAATCCGAGCAGATTATACAGGGTGTATCTAAACTCTAAGGCAAAACTTTAAGGGGTGATAGTACACATCAAGACAAACAATAGTAAATAGGAAGCTTAGGGTCCCAAACGTCTTCCGAAGGAGATCGGCGCCATTAAAGTTTAGTTTCCGAAATTTCAAATGATTGTAAAAAACGGAAAAAAGGGTCGATTCGTTAGCGGTTTTCGCTAAAATTATTATTTTTGTCAGTACTTTCTTAAAAAATAAATTTTAGATAAAGCTTAAAAAATGTCAGTAGAGGGTGCTTTAGACTTTGAAGTTACGAACAACTATTTTTTAATGTTATTTTTTGTATCACGTTAAGTGCTTTCAAAAGCTTAGACTTAAACTTAAATTTTAAGCTCAGAATTTGAATCATTGGGGTGGTTAAGTAGCGCAAACTTAATTGTGTTCAGGAGGTGAAATTTGAACTCGCCTTCTTCCCTGGACACAGTTCAGTTATTCACGATTTTCGATGTTCGGTCGTAGACTAGGCAGTAGCTACTACCCACTAAACGTAAGACAAACGAGAGAGGGATGACAAAATTAAATAAAAAAGTTATACATGACAGACATGAGCAATTTCCCCCCACAAAATACTCGATAATGCAAATCACCCGATTTGCACGCAAAGTGTAGTACACAAGGATTTACCTGTATGGTACTAATTGTATGTAAGGATGTAAAGTTCTACTGCAAAGTGTTTCAGCCAACATAAGGGCTCGTATGTGGTTCCAACATGACGGAGCGCCTGCACATTTCAGCGCAGATGTGCGAAGTGCTTTGGATACAGCATATCCAGGGCGATGGATTGGGCGGGGTGGTCCGGTAAATTGGCTGGCACGCTCGCCTGACCTCTCCTGCCCAGACTTCTTCCTCTGGGACCATATGAAGAGTCTTGTTTACGCAAGCCCCGTCGACTCCCATGAGGCCCTGGTTGCAAGGATTGCCGTCCCTAGCAGGCGAAATCCGGGAGATGCCCGGGGTATTGGTTAATGTTCGACATTACCTCCGCTGGCGGTGTGAGGCCTGCATCTTTATTGGTGGGCGCTTTTTCGAGCAGTTTTTGTTATTCCGCAAGAACTAAGAAAACGTGTACCATTTTCTATGTGTCATCATTCATTCAACCTTCATTCATACGCAATACGTGCGTACATCAAATTGTTTCTTTTTATCTTGAGCAGAGAAGTTGCTCATGTCTATTATGAATAATTTTTTTTTAAATTTTGTCATCCCTCTTTTTTTTATTTTACGTGTAGGAGGTAGTAGTGTCTGCCTGGTCTACGACACCAAGATCGAGAATAACTGAACTCTGTTCAGAGGGAAGAGAGTTTCAAATTTCACCTTCTGAACACAGTTGAGTTTGCGCTACTTAACCACCCCCAACGATTCAAATTTTGATTTCAAAATTTAAGCTTAAGTCTAAGCTTTTGAAAGCATTTAATGCGATACAAAAAATAACAGTAAATAAATTAAAAGTAAAACATTTTTTTTAAAAACAAGCTTTTATTTAAATGCTCTAAAAAGAATAAAATAAATTTTTCTTTCAAAACTTTTTTTTCCATCAACTTATAAAGTCGTTACACAATTTATGATATAAAAGCTTGTCGCGAGATTTAAGTACTCGTATTTACTTAGTTTGAAAATTTTAAAAATTAAAATCAATCTGATCAATGTATTTAATTGACACAATTTTTTTTTTCAAATCCGTAATTTTAAACCAATTTTTTTTCAATTCTTGTGCAGAATTTGGAAAATACTCTTCTACAAACGAAAATATATTTTCGAGCAATTAAACAAACATGGACAAAAAAATTAACACACCTAGATGGAGTCGTCAAAATGAAACGAAATTTTACATACTAATGACAACTTTGATATAAGTAAATCATTAGAAAATTAAAGAAAAAGGATCAATTATTTCAGAGAAAAAGGCAAAAGAACGGAGGATTTAATACCCTGTTGAATCCCTTCTAGCGCGAATGCACGATGCGATACGATCGGGCATTGAGGCATACAAGCACTGTATGATATCTTGAGACATTTTATTTCCATATTTGCTGTATCCTTGCCTCTAGTTCGTTCAAAATCGTATGATGCCAAACTCGCCGTCCTAAATGATCCTAGGTATGTTCGATTGGAGACAAATCTGGAGATTGGGCAGGCCAGGAAGGGGAGTAACAGTGCGGAGACAGTCTTGTGACATCCTTGCAGTGTGAGGCCGAGCATTGTCTTGTTGAAAAATGGCTATTGGGAGCCATTGCATGGATGGCAACACATGTGGTTGCAGGATGTCATGGTACCACGGATCAATGCTAGGAGTGACCGTGTGTTGTAAGCAATGGTACCCCATCCCATCACAGCAGCTGTTGAAGCGATGTGTAGCTGAAAAGCAAAGGCAGGATTGAGGCGTTTACCATGGGGCTTCAACACACGTACACGATTGTCATCACTGCTGAGATTAAATCTGGATTCATCGCTAAAGACGACCTGGTTCCATTCCGCTGCAGACCAATTTCCTCGTGCGTGGCACCACTCCAAACGGAGGCGTCGATGAATGGGCGTCAAGGGCAGCACACGTAATGGGCGCCGTGATCCCAAATATCCTTCAGCCAGGCGCCTTCGTATGGTTCGAGAAAATACATGGGCCCCTAGTGAAGGTGTTACATGTGCATGGATGGCGGTCGATGAAGCAATTGGCTGTACACGTACATTTCTAATGATGTGTTGGTCTAATCGACAACTGGTCTGTCTAGGGCGTCCTGAGCCTGGTCTTCCTGTAAATGACATCTCCCGGATCTACTAGTCCTAACACCTCCTCACAACAAAATCAGAGTAGCCTAATTGACGAGCTACTCGCCTAGCTGACCACCCAGCTTTCATTATGCCGATGATTCTCCCCCTATCAAACTGCGGCAGCTGCTCATATTGTCTTCGGAAAAGGCATAATGACATGTTTACCTCTTCTCCTGCTTTGTAAACGATTCAGCACACTCAAAAAAAGCTTTGATTACCTGTTTTACACTCCACCTGTCAAGCTGTTTAAGAATCGGTGAATATTCACTTACTCGAGAGCTCTGATAGCGAGAGGGGAAGAGGAATTTCCATGACAATATGTTATGCATTTAAAAATGTTCGTGTAACGATGGGGAGATATAATCCTGTCTCGTGCATTTAGTCTTTTTTAACTAATTGCGATATCGGAATATAAATGGTTAAAACATGCATATTCATCCAAACTAAACATGTATACAAAATTTCAGCTCAATCGGTTGAAGAGAGTTGCAAGGTTCCACCCGAACAATTTACATTGCAAGTTAAAAAAAAAGCTTGTAAAATATAACATACTTTGTACGTATACAGAGTGGAAGTATTGTAAAATATCTCGTTGAACAAATCAAACGAATTTCAAAAATATTTTACACGAAAAAATTAATAATTGGTTGATTGATTGATTGAATATTAACGTCACTCTGTTCAGCTACACGAGGGCTTTTGGCGACGGACCACGTAATTTTGAACCATGGTCAAGTGACGTGGACGACCCCTGAGCTGGTACACCCCTCTCCTAACTACCACCCCACCCCACGGGAGGACGTTTCAGCTCTCGACAGATTTAACGTGCATCGCTGCCCTACACGGCGTGTCTTTAGTGGTACTGCGCTCAAACTCGTGACAAGGCAAGCCACGATCCGATACCTATACCACTCGGCTACCGCAGCCACAAAATAATAATTGGAGACGCGGTGTATCGATCCCCGTTCCTCTCTCATGCTAAGCGAGCGCTCTACCATCTCAACTACGCCTCCGGTACCCACCTTTATTATTGTTAACATGCTCGCCTTAACACCTGAACAAGATCGTTGCAGTAACTAGGTCGATATTGGAATACAAATTGTCAAAACATGCATTGTCATTCAAACTAAAAGTGTATACAAAATTTCAGCTCAATCTGTTGAAGACATCAGCTTCAAAATTGAGTTGCAAGATTCCCCCCGAACAAATTACTTTAATTAATATCTTTTTAATTAATTGTGATATCGGAATATAAATGATCAAAACATACATTGTCAAACGGGCCAACGTTACGTTGATGATATTCTTCAACCCCATGTAGGACCTTTCCTAAATGGTCTCCCAGGGGCAATTTTCCAGCAGATAACGCTCGTCCGCATACAGCAAGTTGCTCAAGACTTCCTACGTCATTTTCAGTCTCTTCCATGGCCGACCCGCTCCCCCGATTTGTCCCCTGTAGAGCACGTGTGGAATCAGGTAAAACGGCAGATGCCATCGTGTCACTCTGTACATGATTTAGAGTTGGCTGTTCAAGATTTGTGTGACCATCTTCCTCAGGACAACATAAGGTGTCTAATCAACTCAATGCTGGACCGTGTGGTGGCATGTATTGCAGCTGGAGGTGGTCCAACGCGCTATTGAAGTTGCCCAGTATTTGTGTCGTTGCACTCCCTGTATTCATTTAATTGTCTTGTTTTTGAGATCAAGTGAATCTCTCATCTGTGCCATTATGTGTATTAAATTTCATTTCAATCCGATGCTTTCTTCTTTGGTCGATATTTTCAATGTTCCTGAGTGTATATATACATATATTGTTATATTGTTTTATATTAATCTACATCTGGTTTGGGGAAACGCGGCGTATACATTTTTTTAACAATAACAGTGCTACGCGATTAGAGGGGAAGCTTATTGGAAAAGCCAGATGAAGTGTATAGATGAAAATTAGTTGTAACTTAAAAGTGGTATATAATGTATAAAAATTGTGAAATGTAATGGTATTATGTGAAAATTTGTTATTCCAAGTGACTTAAAGAGTTTTTTATTTCAGGGTGACAGACCCTGAATTCTCGATAGAAAACCAATGCTCAAAGTTTTCATTGTATAGCCAACAGGATGGAGATGAAGTTTAAAGAAAGAAGATCGTAATAGTTTTTAAGTAGAATTAAGTTAGTTAAGGGGTGTGAGGCCCTCGCTTTTCCAACCAAAACATATATGGTTTTTTCCTGGGTCTGTTGCCTGGATGGGGCACACACATGTATTTTGTAAAGGGAGAATCTACCGTGATTAATATATATAACTGTTAATGTTGGTCTAGTTAATTGAGTAAATTTTTTTTGTGGCTGTCGAGAGTTCAAATTAAGAAGGAATATTAAAAATTAAACTTAAGATGAATAGTGAAAATTAAAGTTTAAGTTGAATATTGGAAATTAATGGTTAAAATGACTATTCGGAATTAAAATTTAAATAGAGCATGGAAAGTTAAAAGTTTTGAAAAATAAAATTTAGGCACGTAATTTCTTAAGGGCCATTAAGACCCTCGAATAAATTACGTTTTTCTTCTTGGAGGGGATTGTGACGGGCTCACGCGTCGTTTCATTAACTTGTCCTTTGTGTTCTTTGGGGGAAAGAATTAATGGCAACTCTTTTCCAACCAAACCCATGAAGTGAAGCGTGAAGGAAAGATGCAAATTAGGAAGCTTTTAAATATCAGAAGTTGGAGTAAGCTGGATGGCAATTTGAGGAATGCTTTGATAATCCGTGATTAAAGCGTGAAGAGGTTTTGGAAAGATTAAGTGACAGCTAACAGAAGTTATTCGTGACATAGAGCCATTAGGTCAAGGTGCATACCATTGCATTCCAATAACCCCGCAACTTCCAGTAAGATTGGATTGATCGATCGACATTAAGGTAGGATTGACTATTTAATATTAGGATCAGTGATGTAATGGAATTGAGTTTAGGCGAGTTAGTATTGATAGTGGTCCGGGTTATACGTTATTTCGGTATTATATATATTGTGTGTTTAGCCACCGTAAATTCTCTCATGTATTATTATTATCTAATCTGTTAGATGTTTAAGTTTTAAAATCTTAATAAAGTCAAATTAAGATCATGGCAGCTTCTAGTTCTTACGTTATTCCTAAACCTCTAGCTCGCGCTGATAATCCAGGAGAAGAGCACACGAAGGGCGCGCCCTTACAAGGGTATCCCCACACAAAGTGAGGCAATCCTCAAATTTATTACTCAAACGTAGTGGCCCAACTATACATGAGGGCCAGGGCCTAATATGCCCATAACTGTATACGTGACCATTGAGTGCTGAGGTGCTTGAGCAGATGTCCCAATTAGGTGGTCTGTCTGAAGTGAGACCTCCAGTGTTTCAGACCCCAAGCAAGCTTGGGACTCATTTATCGACCCACTGCAGCGGTGATAAAAGGCAGAGTCTACCTTGAGCAGCCCGTTAATAGAACTCGGACCTGTGGTGTGGAAGTACGTTACACTACCATTCGACCCTATACGATGAAAAATAAAACTTAATGCTCGAATCTTATACAATTCCCTAATTAATGAGGAAGTCCAAACTTATTTTTTTATGTAAACTGTTTGGACGGAAATGCTTAAATATGAACATTTCACAAGTTGCATAAATTAAAGTTAACCGTTATAGTTAATATAAATTTTTAAGAGTACAAAAGGTGTATTTTGGCTGCATGAATTTTAAAAGGAGTATGGTTTACGAAAAAGTAGTACAAATCTATCTAAAGTAGGGTTGCTTACCTTAGATATTGTCAAACACAACAATGTATTGGAAGTCAATTCCACAATTTGTTGTTATAAAAATTTATGGAAAATTTCAAGACTTATTTTTGTATTTGTAATTTTTATACCTTTTTCCTGAAAACTTTAAAAGATAGAGCGTCATCCATCAAAACCGCGGGTCCCTCTCTGTTTGCCCAGCTCGCTCCAGCCTAATCCGGCTCTGACTTAGTAAGTGAAAATGCCGTATTTTTTGCTTGTCTTTTATTGCAGACTGCATTTTTCAAGTATTTTAGATGGTTGTTTTATATTTTCTGCATCAATATCTTAGTGTCTGAATTTAAAATTACATAAAATTCTTGACATTTGCAGCAATGACCATTATAATTTTTATTAGTATATGAAGGTGTCTTCAAACGATTACATGACTGTTATTAAGGTATTCGACTACGTTCGGAACTGTGATTTTAAAAAGGCGCATAAATGGATAATTTTCATGGTATTTAGTGTCACTTAGATAAGAATACATGTATAAGATTGTTTTAATGACATTTTGGCAAAAAGAATTATTTAACTACAATATTTCGGCAAGAAATTAACTTAGAATAACCTTTTTTCAAAATGCTCTCCGTTTGTGAAAAATGCTTCTATTATACTAAAATTTTGCCTGTATATAGCTCAGACTTCTGTACAGAGGATCAACTATGTTTTTTGAAAACTTCACATTATTTTCAGAGTTACAGCCATCTGAAATAATTATCGGCGTTTTTTTCTTAAAACTTCTCCCCTCTAATGTCGTAAAACACATGGATAAACCCACTTCTAAGTTATATATTTCAAACATTCTAGTTGAGCCTCTGTATAGAGGTCTGAGCTATATACAGGCAAAATATTATTAAAATAGAAGCATTTTTCACAAAAGGAGTACATTTGGGAAAAAAATTATTCTAAGTTTTTTGCCCAAATATTGTATTCAAATAATTATTTTTGCCAAAACGTCCTTAAAACAATTTTATACATGTATTATAATCTAAGTGACACTAAATATCATGAAAATTATCCATTTATACGCCTTTTTAAAATCACGGTTCCGAACGTAGTCGGATACCTTAACCTATGTTGACCATTTAATTAATATTAAGTACAACATAAAACGCACACAAATTTTCTGAACTTTAAAATAAATATTTCGAAAACTATTTCAGAAAAACTCATAATTTTTCATTCCTACGATTTAGCTTCTCAGCTTTGCTTCTCTAACTCTCTCTCTCTCTCTATGTAAACATTTATTGTATATTCATCAATTTTTTAGCATATTTTTTGCTCTTAACATACAGTTTTCAACCGAATTGTAAGAAATTTTCTAAATTTATTGAAAAATACTAAAGATGCTATGTAATAAAAAATTTGAATTTTATATTATACTCAAAGAACTGTTAGTACTTATGGTAAATAATTTTTAACTATGCATTACATTTTTTTTTCGAAATTTCAAATTAAATTTCTAATATAAAATTCCTAGTTTTATACGGTAGAGGTTTCAAAACATATCCAGATTTTAATTACTTCTTCAGTTAGCCTTTAAAAAAAGATAAATGTTGAGGTATTTTGCATAAATAGATATTTTTGAAGAATAATTTGAATGTTTTTAAATAGCTCGAATTTAAAATTGATATTTATGTTTATTTATATGCATAAATGTCTACTGTAAATGTGTCCGTATATTTTTGATTACCATTTATTCAGACATTCAAGTTTTAAAAAAAATGTGGGAAAATCTTCATTCATGTTCTCTTTGATGTAAACTGAAGTTCAAGCACTTAAAATTCAAATATAATTCGATGTATCCTAACAATATATGACTAGATACTGTAAATAAACTTCTCTGAACACACCTGGTTTTGAAATTTAGGAAGAAAAAAAAACTAATAGGTCTGAATTAGTTTTTTTTCTCGTTGTTATTTTTATCAATTTAGTAGTTGGAAAGCTTAAAAGTTTTCAAATTTTTAAGTGTGTTCGGTGTTTTATTATTATTATTATTTTGACATCTTATAATGAAATAATCATGAAGACAAGAAAAATGAAGCCACAGCATATAGTTAAAAAAGTATACTATAATTTGTCTAACTATACAAAGTAGCAGATAGCCCTGACACGCCCCCACTCGTTACAATTTCCAATTGATATGAAACCAAAGGGGAATTAATAACATTTTATTTATGCGTTGGGACTTTTCAAGACTTTTAAAATCTCA